GCTGCAGGTGGAGTTTACGTCCGTCCATCCATTGGAGGAAGGGAGGACCTATCAGAAACATCGATGATGAGAAAGAATCATTGATCGGCTGCCTCTGCACGTGCCCTCTTACTGGGGATCCAGCCCACAACCTGGGTCTGTGACCTCAACCAGGATCAAACCCAGGACCCTTCAGTCCGCAGGCCGATGCTCTATCCACGGAGCCAAACCAGCTGGGGCCTCTCTCTCCGCTTCTCAGCAGGATTCATATGCCTCGGTCCCTGGAACAGAGAGCAGGTGGCGAAGGACAGGCTACAGGCAGGAGCCAGGAGAGAGACGGGCAGGTGCTGCCCTCCCGGGCTCGGCTGGCCTGTCTGTGGCTCCCACTGAACCGCAGGGTTCACCTCTGGGTAAGGAGGAAGCGAGCCAGTCTCCCAGGACAGCCCGGGCGTTGTGATGGAGAGCAGGCCCCAAGGGCACCCTCCACGGGGTTCCTCTCCTGTGTGCACCAAAACCACCTCACCTTCCTGCCAGAGCTTCCCCTCTGCAGCTCTTGGTTCCTTGAAAGAGGAAACTTTGGCATCTGACTGTTAATGAAAAAAAACAAACAACAACATCAACAACACACACACACACACACACACACACACACACACACACACACACACATTGAAACCTGTGAAGAATTTTTGTGAGTTTATCTGAGCCAAACTGTGGACATAGGCCAGGAAGCAGAACCTCAGTAAATGGAGGTGATGCTCCGGAGAATGCAGGGTTACATCTATATTTATACATTGCCATCAAAGGAGAGGGATGTAGGTGAGTTCCATGAAATTCATTGGCGATATTTAAGGAGGTGGGATAAAGCAAAGCGGGGAAACCTCTGGGATAGGGTGAAAAGTGAAATGATGGACATGAGCTTCTTTTACAGAGAGGGATACAGGATCCTTAACTGTAATTAACAGTTGACAATGAACTTATAACAATAACAATGAGGGAACGTCCCCAGGGGGCCATTGGTTGTGCCCTGAGGGGTCTGGGGTAAAAAGGAGGTTACAGGTTAACCAGACATCCCACAGTTAGGTTATCTTAGAGGTGAACAGGCAAATGGGCTCAGGAAAGATCTAAGTTGATCTTTGAAAGGGAAAATATCAGCCTAGGACTTACTATAACCTGTTTGTAGTTAAACACGGAGGCGGTGGGGGTTTGCCGGGGGTGTAGGTGGGAGAATGGCTGGGGGCTGGGGATCAATTGGGGGTGGGGGGCAGGTAAGGAGACATGTATAAACCTTTAGAACAGTGGTCGGCAAACTCATGAGTCCACAGAGCCAAATACCAACAGGACAACGATTGAAATTTCTTCTGAGAGCCACATTTTTTAAATTTAAACTTCTTTAAAATATATATATATATATATATATATATATATTATTGATTTTTTACAAAGAGGAAAAGGGAGATAGAAAGCCAGAAATGTCGATGAGAGAGAAATATTGACCAGCCGCCTCCTGCACATCCCCCACCTGGGGATGTGCCCGCAGCCAACGTACATGCCCTTGACCGGAACCGAACCCGGGACCCCTCAGTCCACAGACCGACGCTCTACCGCTGAGCCAAACCGGCTTCGGCTAAACTTAAACTTCTCACGCCACTTCTTCAACATGGACTCGCCCAGGCCGTGGTATCTTGTGGAAGAGCCACACTCAAGGGGCCAAAGAGCCGCAGGTGGCTCTCGAGTCACAGTTTGCCGACCACGGCAGACAATTAAAAGAAAGGAAAGGAAAGGATGAGAAAGTGATCTTCCATTTCTCTCCTCTCTCCACATGTGAGGCCGGGAGGCGGGCTCACACCACGAACCCAACACGCTGGCCTTTGACCCTGGACTTCCAGCCCCCAAAACCGTGAGAAACGCAGCTCCATCCTCTGCGCTGCGGGTCCCAGGACGCTGTCACGGAGCCTGGAGCCTGCGCTGCCCGAGGTCCCGGTCTGCCCACGGAATCGCGCCAACCAGCCCCAAGCCCGTGCAATCCTGCCCTGGAAAACCCCGTGCAGTTCCTGCCCCGAGAGCCAAGCTCGTTCCCTGCCGTCAGTCACTGCGGAGCCTCCTGCACCCCTGCCCCCTGTGCAGCCCGCGGGGCCTGCATGCTGGGGCCTCCTCCCCCATCAACTCACACTCTGCTGTGCACCCAGTCTGCTCCATGGGAACCGCCCCGAGCGCAGCTTTTGCGTGACCTGGGGTGGGGGTGAGGGGACTTGGAGGTGATGCAAACGTCCATCCGGAGGCGGAGGCCACGCCCTGGGCCCTGCCAGTCCTCCCTGCCCCGGGGCGGAGCTGTCCCACGCAGCAGGGCTGGAGACCTGCGGAGTTCACCTTTGGGCACCCAGGTCTCCCTGTCTGGGGGGGGGGGGGGGGGGGAGAAGGGAGGGCGGAGCAAGAGAAGGAGGCTGGGGTCTGGCTACTCCTGCTCAGGAGCTGTGAGAGGGGATGGGGAAAGGGGACAGACGGGGCTACTCCAGGCCAGCGGGGACCCCAGCTCAGCCAGGACAAGGCCCAACAGCTCTACCTTATTCTCGGGTTCAGCTTCAGGGATGCCAGGGGCACACAGGGGTGTGTGTGTGTGTGTGTGTGTGTGTGTGTGTGTGTGTGTGTGTGTGGAGTGGGGGCAGGGCTTGTCCTGGAGGGCCTGGGCCTGGGCAAAGGGCCTGGGGGTCATGCATGTGAGTTCTGGCGATGAGAGACACGGAAGGGGGTGTGAGCCGTCCCAGGGCTGGGCCACAGCGGCTGAGCTTCCCCTGGGCAGCTTCCCCCCGCCCCTCCGCAGGAGGAACTGAGAGCTCCCTGCACCATCCCCATCCCCATCCCACGGTAGCCGGGCCAGGGGTCAGTGTGTGTGTGTGTGTGTGTGTGTGTCCACCCCCAGCTCCAGTGCAGGGAATGCTGGGGGAATGGACAGGCAGGTCTCCCCGCGGGGAGGTCAGAGAGCGGATGATAAAGAGGGAGGGATGGCTGTGGAAGGCGTGGGTGGCCACACTGCCTGGGGTGGCGCCCGGGGTGGCTCCCAGCAGCGGTGACGGCCAGGAGGAAGGGAAGTGAGAAAGGAGGCCAGACCTGGGGGCCGATGGCATGTGAGCAGGGAGAAGGCAGAGCGCTCCCTCCCTCTTCCCCTGCTCAGCGACGTCCCCCCTCACTGTCCCCGGGCCCACAGCCGGGAATGTTCCTCCTGGTCCCCTCAGAGCCCAGGCCACAACCAGTCTGCTCTGTTGTGCCCAAGAGCCACCAGCCAGCGGGGCCTCCAGGCATGGCCCCAGCCTTGTTTCACCATCAGGGCCTCTACCAGGCAGGTCCTGAGGTCCTCTGCCTCCCCGCCCTCATGGGGGCCATCTCTGGGCATGGACAAAGGGTGTCTGCCGGTCTTCTCTCCTCCGGCCCCCACACAGGGCGCAGGCTCAGTCTGTTTGTCGAGTGAAGGAATGAGTGAGTGAAGGAATAAATGAATGAATGAATGGGTGAATAAGTGAATGGGTGAACGAATGAGTGAGTGAATGGGTGAATGAATGAATAGATGAATGGGTGAACGAATGAGTGAGTGAATGGGTGAATGAATGAATAGATGAATGGGTGAACGAATGAGTGAGTGAATGGGTGAATGAATGAATAGATGAATGGGTGAATGAATGAATAGATGAATGAGTGAATGAGTGAATGAAAGATTGAGTGAATGAGTGAGTGAGTGAATAAATGAATGAGTGAGTGAATAAATGAATGAATGAGTGAGCGAGTGAATGAGTGAGTGAGTGAGTGAATGGGTGAATGAATGAATAGATGAATGAGTGAATGAGTGAGTGAGTGAATGAGTGAGTGAGTGAATAAATGAATAAATGAGTGAGCGAATGAGTGAGTGAGTAAGTGAATGAGTGAGTGAGTAAGTGAATGAGTGAGTGAGTGAGTGAATGAATGTGTGAGTGAGTGAATGAGTGAGTGAGTGAGTGAGTGAATGAGTGAGTGAGTGAGTGAGTGAATGAATGCGTGAGTGAGTGAATGAATGAATGCCTGAAATAGTGGCTGCCCCTGACACTTCACCTAAGACCCTTAGGTGTATCTGACATGCACACCCCTGCTAGCCTGCCTCCAGGGTCCAGATCGGGTGTCCTGACCTTGGCATGGCTGACCTTTGGGCATGCTGTTGGGAGGCCGTGCTGTGCCTCACAGGAAGTGCAGAAACGTCTCTGGGCTCCCCCCACGGGCTGCCCGGGGCACCCTCCTCCCTAGCTGGGACCATGACATGTGTCCAGACATTGCCAAATGTTTCCGGCAGGCCCTGGTTGGGAACCACAAGTTCACACAACACTCTCGGGCCAGGAAGTGACCTCTCCCCAGTGCACGCTGGGCACCAACAGCACCTCCGCCTGGGCAGGACTCAGACACCCACCCATGGTCTGTCCGGCCTCGGATCTGCAGGGGCCCCTGCTGGCCCCCTTGGAGGTGAGAGCGGGCCTCACCCAGGTCCAGGACATGCCGGACAGACTGCATCTGAGGGTCTCTGTGGTGTGTCCTCCCCACTCTGTGCCAAAGGAGTGGATGAGGGAGTGAATGGGTGGATGAGTGAATGGATGAATGGGTGAATGAATGAATGCCCAAAATAATGGCTGCCTCCTACACTTTTCCTAAGACCCTTCCGTATAGTTGGCACCAGAGCTCAGAAAAGCCCCCATGGGGAGGACCTAGGAACTCCCACGTCCCCTCTCCAGATGTCCTCAGAGGTCCTGGTTCCGCTCTGGAGCCTCAGGGAAGATGCGAGATAGGACAGGACTCGGGGTTCCCTTTCTGTCTGTCCATCTCTGGGAGGGTGCCCGGGTCTCTGGGCAGAGAGGGGAAGCCCTTGGGCTCTGAGGTTCCTCTTTTGTGAACAGCCCAGATCTCACGCTCCACCCTGATTTCATGGCCTCACCAGGCTCCTTCTTCCCAGGCACTGTCTTCCTTCTTTTTCACCCTCCGGAGCCCAGGAGCCCTCCATGTCAGAGATGCTGTGGCTGCTGGCCCTGCTGTGGGCAGGTGAGTGCCTGAGGGGCCAGGGGGAGTGGGTCAGGGGCTGCGGCTGACCCTCCTTTCCCTGCAGGGTCCCTGGCTCAGTATGGAAGCTACTACCAACTGACAGTGCAGACGCCCGTGACGGTGCAGGAGGGCCTGTGCGTGTTTGTGCCCTGCACCTTCACCCACCCGGGGAACTTCCAGGATGATCCTCCCCCTGCATATGGCTACTGGTTCCCAGAAGGAGCTGATGAACTCCAGGATGCTGCTGTGGCCACAAACAACCCATTTCGTAAAGTGCAGGAGGAGACCCAGGGCCGATTCCACCTCCTCAGGGATCCCAGGACCTACAACTGCTCCCTGGACATCAGAGGCGCCCGGAGGACAGATGAGGGATCATATTTTTTTCGGGTGGAGAGGGAAAATTACCGAATGGGTAAATATTCTTACAAAATGAACATGCTCTCCGTGCATGTGACAGGTAAGGAATGGGCTCCAGGAGAGGCCTCAGGGGCAGTTATGGTGGCCCCTCACAGGGCTGGGATGGGCCCCAACCAGGGAAGGGGTCGGGGTACAGTATGTTGGGCTCAGAGGGAGGAGCTGGAACAAAGCCTGAGGCTTCTCTCAGGGTCACACCTAGGGACCCTCCCTCCTGATCCCCTCTCTCCCCTCCTCTCCAGCCCTCAACCACACACCTGACATCCACATCCCGGGGACCCTGGAGTGTGGCCGCCCCAGGAACCTGATTTGCTCTGTGCCCTGGGCCTGTGAGCGGGGCACGCCCCCCACCTTCTCCTGGACGTCAGCTGCCCACAGCTCCCTGGGCCCCAGGACCCGCCTCTCCTCCGTGCTCACCCTTACCCCAGGTCCCCAAGACCACGGCACCAACCTCACCTGTCAGGTGCACTTTCCTGCCGCTGGTGTGACCGTGGAGAGAACCATCCAGCTCAGCGTCACCTGTGAGTGCTGGGTCTGAGCACCTGGTCCCTGAGGGTGTGCAGAGCAGGAGGGCCAGGCAGGGGTGCTGGGTGCTTTGTCCTGGGGACCTGGCTGTGTAGGGGACCTAGAGCACAAAGGCCTGACACTCTTGCTTTTCCGTGGTCCCCGAGGGTGGAAGTGCAATGCCTACACAACCCTCACCACATGTCAGCTCACAGACGTGGGAATTTCTCTCTTCCTGTCCCAGGTTCCCCTCAGAACCCAACAGCAGGTGGTTGCCTAGGAGACGGCACAGGTAAGAAGGAGCAGATCGTGGACTGTAGGGTGCAGGGCCTCTTCCTGATGGTCTTAGGCTCTACAAGAGCGGTTCCCAACCTGTGGTTTGGGAACCCCTCCCAAGGTCACCTAAGGCCATCGGAAAACACAGCTATTTAGGATTCATAGCAGTGGCAAAAGTACAGTGATGAAGTAGCAACAGAAATAATGTTATGATTGGGTAAGGGCACTGAAGTCTGCCCTCAGAAGCTGGGTCTCCCCCAGGAAGAGAGCAGTGTCCACAGTCTGCTGCGAGCGTTGGCTGTTCACCTGAAGGACCTAACAGGCCCTTTGCCATCAGTAGGACAGATGCCCCTCCCGCCATTCCCCCCCCACCTCCCATCCCCCACCCACGTCTCTGTGACTGTGGAGTTGTCCACGGCATGGAGGGAGCTGGCTGTGGGCACATATTCTCTAACGAAAAACAAGGGTGTTCAGGGGTTGTCTGAATAACAGTCCATTGCATCACATTCAGTTCTTCCGCTGATCAGTTGATGGACCTTTGGGTGTTTCCAGTTTTGGGCGGTTATAATACCGCTGTGAGCTTCAATGTGTGTTTTTGATTCAAATATTTTTGTTCTTTTTTTTTTAATACATTTTATTGATTTTTTTTTTTTTTTTACAGAGATGAAGGGAGAGCTAGAGAGTTAGAAACATTGACGCGAGAGAAACATCGACCAGCTGCCTCCTGCACACCCCTTACTGGGGATGTGTCTGCAACCAAGGTACATGCACTTGACCGGAATTGAACCTGGGACCGTTTAGTCAGCAGGCCGACACTCCATCCACTGAGCCAAATCGGTTTGGGCTATTTTTGTTCTTTAGGTCATTCACCTCGGGGTGAATGACCTAAAGAACACTGCTGAGTCGATGGTACTTTCTATGTATAGCTTTCTCAGGAAATTCCAGACTGTGTCCTACAGTGGCAGCACCAGTTTACATTCCCACCAGCAAAGCATAAAGCTTCCAATTTCTCCATACAAATTGCCAACATGGGCATTTTCCTTCAAAAAAAAAAAAATCATAGGCTACTAGTGTGTGTGTGAAAGGCTACTCCAACGTGGCTTTGATTTGCATTTTTGTAATAACGCTGATGCCCCTTATTTTCTCATGGAATTATGGTTCATTTGTACATAACCTTGAAAGAGCACTTTATATCGAGTCTCTGCCCCTTGTTTAACCAGGTTCCTTGACTTTCTGTTGTTAATTTGTAAGAGTTTGGTATGTGGGCGGGTTATTGATCTTTATCCAACCTATAGCTAGCAAAAGTTCTCTCCCATTAAGTGGGTTGGCTTTTTCATTTCCCCATCGTGTCCATTGATCAACAGAAAGTTTCAATTGGATGGATTCCAACGTGCACATTTCCATTTCTGTCCAACGGCTGGGGTCAGGGTGTGGTCTAGGGTGAGAGCCCAGGTGGTCCTGAATCCGGTGATGCAGGAAGGCCAGGGGACAATGTCCAGGGTCCTACTGGGAGCAGAAGAACATGGGATTGCAGCTGAGCAGGTGACTCTGTCCTCATCCCTCTCTCCTGTAGGATTATCAGGACCCAGGACAGAGGTGGTGCTAGTGGCCATTGGAGAGACTGTTGTCAAGACCCTGGTCCTCCTCCTCTGCCTCATCGCCCTCATGTGAGCTCCGCTCAAGGGGGAAAGGGAAGTCCAGGGAGGGCAGGGGGCACGAGGCCAAGTGCTTAACCAAGACCTAGGATCCCCAAGGGTCGGGGGCAGGGCTGGCAGGAGGATAAGGAGTGGTAGGTGTGGCCTCCATACAGACAGACCTTTTGAGTGTCCCATAAGCCAGGTCTCCAGAGTGGAAGGTACCTACAGCCATCAGGAGGGTGTGTCAGGCTAGACACACGCTTTCCCACTTCAGTCTCCTCTCCTGGCCTTGAACAGGGAATAGGGGCATGGGTCTGCTGCCCACTGCACCTGATGCGATCAGACTGAAAGACCCCGGTGTTTTCCCTCAGAGGCAGGTACCACAAGAGGAAGGTCCCGACGTCCCAAGGAAGCACACAGGATGCAAGCAGAGTCTCAGGTTAATCCCTCAGGTGAGTGATGGAGGTGTGTCACCACCCAACACCCCCTGACGCCTCCCACAGGTCTGCTCATCAGCATTGCTGAAATGGAGCTGTCAGCCCTGACCGGTTTGGCTCCATGCACAGAGCATCAGCCTGTGGACTGAAGGGTCCCAGGTTGGATTCGGTCAAGGGCATGTACCTTGGTTGCGTGTACATCCCCAGTAGGGGGTGTGCAGAAGACAGCTAATCAATGTTTCTCTCTCTCATTGATGTTTCTAGCTCTCTATTCCTCTCCCTTCCTCTCTGTAAAAATATCAATAAAATCATTTTCTAAATAAATAAACAAACAAACAAAACAAACAAACAAACAAACAAATAAAATGGAACTGTCACCTTCTTCCCCAAATCCACTTCTCTGCTGGGTTTCCCATCACAGTGATGACATGGTGGCCCCCTTCTCTAAGACCGGGACTGGTGTGATCCTACACTTTGCTTGCCATCCCGCTCTCCCCAGTTCACTAAGCCTTGCCCATCCTTCTTCCCAATCACAGCCTACATGGGATGGCCGCCTCCTGCTCATCCTGCCGGGATCGTTCCTGTGGCCTCATCCCTCGCCTGGGTCCCTGGTGGTGGATCCAGAGACATGTGGTCCACTTGCTGCACAGTTTGAACAGTGACTCTCCTCTCCATGTGCAGAGATGAGGTGCAAACACCACAGGCTGGAGTTCAAGGCTTGGCCTGGTTTGGCCCTGCTGGAGTCTCCACTCAATTCTACCATCTCCCTGAATCTCTCGCCATCTCCACTTCCAGCCCGGCCAGAGCCTTTGTAACTGTGAGACTTTTCATGTCCAGTTCCTTCTACTGAAATGCCCTTCCTTCCCCATTCCTACATCTCCAAGTAATGATCCTTTTTGTTGTTGTTGTTCAGTGAAAAGTCGCCTCATTACACATGTGTGTATGTGTGTTTGTTGTATAATTTTGAACAAAACAGGATTTAGGCATTTACTTATAGACTCTTTAGCAAGAATGACTGTGCACCTACTATGTGTCATCATTGTTGTAGGTACTAAGGATGCAACCATGAACCCAGCACCAAAAATCTCTATCATCCAGAAGCTGTCATTCTGGAGACAAGAGGATAAAATGTAGTATAAATAAAACATGTAGAGTCTGTTGAATGGTGATATGTGTTTGGATAAAATGTAATATAAATAAAACTTGTAGAGTCTGTTGAATGGTGATATGTGTTTGGGGAGAAATCATGCCAGGAAAGGATCAGGTGACATGTGGGGGGGGGGGACAGTTCCCAACATCTGAGAGTATGAAAGTGGTGTCTGAGCCTCGACTGGATGCTGGTGAGAGAGCAGACTGTGTGTTGCCTAAAAGGAGATTAGCCAGAAAGATGGGAACAGTGCCCCAGCTCTGAGGCAGAAGCGGCCTGGTGTGTGATGGAGACAAGACTCAGGCATGATAGTCCAGCAGTGCATGGATCCCTGATGGCGTATCTACAAAGGGAAAGAACCCTGGAGGGAGGTACAAACCCCTTGGTGTGCAGCCTAGTGAAAGCTTGCAGCAAATGCAAGAACCAGGAAGCCATTGAGGAAACCAGACATATGGTTGAACATTCTTTGTAACCAACTTTCGTTGCTGCCCTTTGCAGAATAGACTAGCATGTCCACAGCAGCCAAACAGAGAATGGGGAGGACACAGAAGGCAAGAGGGGATGGTGGTTGAGCCAGGGAGGTCAGGTGGAGAGTGAGGTTTAATTTCTGGATATAATTGAAGTTCAAGTTGACTTGGGGACTGAGAGAATGTCTAGAGCAAGGATGGTGTCTAAGTGTTTCTCCTGAGCATCAGAAAGGGTGTGTTTGATGGATACAGGGTTTTGAGGGTAACGTTCATTCTGAGAAGACACTTCATATCCAACTGGGGGGCATCAGTGCGAGAGCTGGTGTGGATGTCTGGAGATCAGGAGAGGGGCAAGAGATGGGAACATGTCAGTGTGAGATGAGAACAACAAGTGAGGGAGGAGAAGGACTGATGGCACACAGGGAAGAGAAGATACAAGCAAACACATTGCCATTGGAGATCCTGACAACAGGGAATTCAATGGTTGGTGGGAAAGGTGTGAAGACGAGATTGAAGCAATGGCAGCAGAGAATTGGAGGAGAATATATGGGATAGTGGGTCCAGACAATGCTTTG